GTGTCGTGCCGTGCCGTGCCGTGTCGTGTCGTGTCGTGTCGTGTCGTGTCGTGTGTGTGTGTATGTGTGTGCGTGTGTAGGGCGTGCGTGCGCGCGCGCGTGCGTGCGTGCGTGCGTGCGTGCGTGTCTGTGTGTATGTGCGTGTTGTGTGTGTGTGTGTGTGTGTGTGTGTGTGTTTGTGTGTGTGTGTTTTGGTGCGTGGAGCAAAGCTCGCAGGGCATGCTCAGACAACGATGACGAAGAGAAGGACCTCCCGAGAGTATAGGCAGCGCAGAGGAACCAAGAGGATGAAGTTGGGCACACCCCCAGCAGTCCAGCTTCCACTGGTGGTACATCATGCAGCCAATCACCTCCCACCAAGAGGATATCATGCATGCGGATCAGACTTTCCAGCCCCAGGGAGCTATCACCCCAGACCCCCGACGTCGTGATTTTTTCACAACGTCGACCCCCAGAGGTCTGGACCCCTTCCCCGGGACCTGTTTTTCGTCCTGAGTCGTTTTTTGACGGTCCCGAGGCCCGGGAAGGGCCTCCAGAGGGCGAAAATAGCGAAAAACCTCCCGTCGTGATTTTTTCACGACGCGAGGAGGTCTGGGACCGCAGCCACTGCCTCCTTCCTCCCTCCTGTCCCCTTTCACCTTCCACCCTCACCCCCCCCTTCCTCCGCTCGTCCTGTCTCTGGCAACGATTCCTGTGGCTCCATGGCTGTGGCAACACAGGCAGCAAACTACCATAACCGCTGCCTCCCCCCCTTCCGTCCCCTTGATGCAGTTCCTCTTCGCCCTCCTCCTCCTCCTCCGCTTCCCCCTTCCTCCCAACCGCCGTGGAGGGGGGGGGGGATAGAGGAGAAGGAGGAAGACGACGATGAGGAGGGAGGATGAGCAGGAGAAACAGGCTGCGCAGTGAGCAAGGAGGCGGAGAAGGGGGAGGGAGGAGGGACGAGTGTAGAGGAACGCTGGAGGAGGATGGAGGAGATGGGATGAGGGCGATGAGGAGGAGGACAACAGTAAAGAGCACCATCGATACATCAACGATGTCGCAATGCAGGCTCCCGCTCCAATTCCCCTCACCGAGCGACCCTGCCAGTACTTCGGGGAGCACCCCATTGAAGACGACCGCCTCATGGCCCTGCCACTCAGGCGACAGCCTCGTTCACAGCAGGAGCCGCCTTCCTTCCCTGAAGCTCCTGAGCATGCGTGGGCATGCATATCTGGCAAGTGCCAACCAGACACCACATCTGAAAAGTGACAGCCGTCCGCCCCCGCCGTCTTTGAACAGATCCGGGCCACAAGGTCAAAGGGCGTCGCCAGAGGGAGTTACGTGGAAGACATGAGTCGCCCTCCATCCGCAGAAAAGCTGCAAGTGCGGAATCCGCCGACCCTGTCGGCGTGTGCGAGGGGCTTGGCTGTTGGAGTCTCCGTCGGTAGTCGCCTCCGTCGTCCCCTTTCCCTGCAGCTTCCTTCTCAAGCTCGTGAGCGAGAGAAAAATCTAGCAGTGTCGTAATCGAGTCGAAGGGAAGCCCCTTCCCTTTGATCCCTTCCCCAGGGGGGGGGGTCCCGGGGGGGGTGGGGGGGCAGATTCGTTTTTCCTCGGGCGGCCTAGAAACCTCGAAAACACTCCAAATGAGGTCCGAATGCCCAAGATGGCCCCCGAGACGGCCCAAGAGGGCCCCGAGTCGCCCAAAGATCGGCCGAAAACGCCCAAGATAGCCCCAAGACCGTCCAAGAAGCCTCCAAGACGTCCCAGGCCCCCTCCAAGAGACCCCCAGGAAGCCCCAAGAGGCCCCCACGAGGCTTCCAAGCGGCCCCTAAGAGCTTCCCAAGAGGCCCACAAACTACCCCCAAGAGGCCCCCAAGAGCGCTCGTCGTCGTCGTCGTCGTCGCCATTCAGGGTCGGCGGCACCGGCCGTAAGGCCTTCGCAATAAAACAGAAGCGGCGCGGAGGCGACAGCCACACTTGACAATGGCCTGCCTCCATGGGTGTAACTATCAAGAGCCTTAAACAAGCACGGCGCAAGGGCGGGAGTCGCATTCTGAACGCGACCGCACAGCAATCCCTGTAGATTTGCGGATTTGGACAGCGAGTGGCAAATGCGCGAAGCGCTGACGACACACAGCAACATTCTGAAACCCTTCTACTGTTTGCCCATCTCTCAGGCATCCCCAGCTTCAGGATCAGACATTTTGATGGCGGCCTCGCGCGAAACGCCTGGCCCGACCCCCCCCAGCTCGAGGGAGGACGAGGGAGGAGAAGGCCGTGGAGAGGGCGGACAGAGGGCGGAGGAGTAGGGCGAGAGCATGAGAGTGGGAAGGAGGGTGGTGGGAGGAGGGAGCGGTGACAGCGATGAGGAGGAGGGAGGAGGAGAAGGAGGAGGAGGAGGAGGAGGAGAAGGAGGAGGAGGAGGAGGTTGAGGAGGAGGAGGAGGAGGTGGAGGGTGGATGGAGCTGGAACCACGATGGTCATGCACTGCAACATCCTTGATGCAGCGCCTGGATTCGCT